AGTGTATATCCCTTCAGAACCTCATCTGCATGTTGTCCTATGTAACCGTGCTCTCTCCTATATCCTTTTTTTATAGTCTACTTGCCATCCACCCTGCCTGCCAACCCTGAGATGTCCACAGCTCAACTTGCAAGGCAGCAGAAGGCCCTGTCAGGGTGAGCCCTGGGCACGTGATTCTGTCCACACCAGAGACTGGCCTAGTCCCAGCTCCCAGGCCTTACCTTCTGCCCAACCTTGGTTTGAGTTGCCAGGTTTCTGATTCCTTTGTTTGCCCTTTGACAATGGCTGGCCTTGACTCCCCTTTGACATCTCAAATTGTGGTAGGTTTGAGGTTCCCGGGCTGGCCCTTGGCCCGTTGGCTGTCAGCTCCACCCACTGCTTTGCTCTGACCCCCACAGAGCAGGACAGACCCCTGCAGACCATGTTTCCCAAGCCCTGGTGGCAGCTGGCCTCCAGCTGGTTTTGGACAAGAAGAAAATTCTGGCAAGCCTGGCGTGCAGGAGGAAAGGAGAAGCTGGAGAATTTCCCTCTGTCTGCCCTGGTCAGTATATTCTTCAGGAATCCAGTTCCGTCTGGGCAGACCCCTGTATTTCAGTTTCATGACCTCAGGCGTGGAGCTCTGTTACTTCTGCTTCCCACTTAATTCCTCCTTCAGTCTAGGGGTGGTGGCGGGGTCCTCCTGCTCTTCCGGATTTGGGGGTTGTTCCACTGTCCCTCTCAGCTCCTCGCTTAATTTTAAATGTGTAAAAGAGTGTTAGAAGAGCAGTTGGACGTGATGGTTTTTCACACACTGGAAATTTAATTTAATAGATTTCCAAGTTAAAGCTACTAAGACTTTTTTTATGATTCCTTTTCTACAGAAAGCACTCATGTCCAAGAAGAGTTAATGCTTAGGGAATTGAGAGGGATTGGGTAGCCCTAGCTGTAAAGGTTAAACCAAGTTAGGGTGATAGGAAGAAAGGAGGAGGAATTTGAGAACCAAAAAGGAGAGTTTGGAATTCCTTCCAGTGAATGTTTTGGATAGTCTTGGCTGCAGGAAATCACAAGCAAGAAGGCAGGCATCCTGGGTCTACATTGGAGGTATTCCATGTGGACGATGTCTAAGAGACCAAGTGGTGAAGGAGGCTGGCAAAAGAAGCACGTGACGTGGTGTCTTTACTATTAAGGGGCTGTGACAGTTTGTTCAGCAAATAGAATTTGTTGCCTCGGAGAAAGGGACAGGCTTTGGTATTTTCATGATCCTGTTACAGGCTTTACTGGGTTCCTGCTTGATGGTGGTGAATCCTCTCCTAGCACTAGAGCGAGTTCTGCACTTGGTTCCGGAGGCTCTGGAAACCCAGGTAGAGGAGTGATGGGACCCCTCTCCTGTTCCATAGAAATTGGCTCATGGGAACGTTTATTCCAGTGACTTGGCCCATAGTGGAGAGAACTCTTCTGACTTCAGGATGCAAAGAGGCCTTCCCACAGTCTGTATTCTAGGGCAGGCGTTTGCTTTTTTGTCGATTTTTGGTAAGAATGGAATATTAAGAAGCTTTAAGATTTTCTAACTTTATTTTCATAGACAGCTTGGGAACATAACATGTGGGCTAAGAATATCTTTTCATGTGAATTTCATCTGAAAACAAAAATAGAAAAATATTACGTAAATCCAGACCGGTTTTTGTGACAGCCTCTGTATTGACTTTATTTAAAAATATGGACAGCATCTAACAGAATGTTGATAGGCAGGAGCATTGAACCAGTGTTATTTTGGCACTTCCAACAAAGAAACCAAGGGTAATTAAGTTTTCCCCTTTCTCCTGGAGCAGTTACACAACAGTTACATTTTTCCTCCAATGAAGCAGCCCCAGGAGAATTAAAGCACAGCTGGAAATCACACTTGCTCTTGTATAGTCCATGGAAGTAGTGCAGAACTTTCTAATAATCCAGCACAAATCTCCAACATATGATTGATTGGTTGATTGAATTTTTTTTTTTTTAGCTTTTGGAAATTAAAGAAAAAGAAAAAATTATGAAGCTTAATAGTTAATACAAGGGAATGTTTCTCATTTATGGATTAAGCAATGCTGAAGAGACAGCTGTCTCCTGAAAGATGTTTGTTTTGCTCTGGATTCTTGGCTATCAGAGACTGCAGCCCCCAGCTCAGACCAGCTTAAGCCACAAGGGGTGTGGGGGGGAGTGTTTGTTTTTATAGACTCTGGTGTAGTTCACAGAATCAGAGGTAGTGTCAGAAGCCCTTGGGGACCGGGACAGGTCCTGGAACCATGTGGGTATCCCCAGTCTTTGTCCCCATACCAGCTCTGTTTTCTCAGATACCTCTACCAGGTGGAGGGTGGGGTCACCCAGAGTCCCCGTCTCATCTCCTTGTTCCTCTGGGCCAAGGAGAAATGAGTAAAGTGAGTGTGTTGTCCTTTTTCTGATCTTTGTTGCCTCCCACCTCCACCCCTACCCCCACCCCCTGCAGACAACAGACAAGCCCAGAGAAGCAGCATTCAGGCATGTGTAACCAGAGGGGTGGGTTTTGTGATTGGCAGCCCTCAGCAAGACTGTGTGAAGTTGGAGGAAGAGCAGTTTCCTGAAGGGGAGGGACACCACCTGGAAGGATGAAGCATTTTGGGTCTGTCCCATTTATTTTATTTATTTATTTATTTTTATTTTTTATTTTTTTTTTACTTATTTATGTTTTAAGATTTTATTCATTTATTCATGAGAGACACACAGAGGCAGAGACACAGGCAGAGGGAGAAGCAGGCTCCATGCAGGGAGCCCAATGTGGGACTCGATCCCTGGACCCTGGGATCACGCCCTAAGCTAAAGGCAGACGCTCAACTGCTGAGCCACCCAGGCGTCCTAGGTCTGTCCCATTTAGCAGGAGGAAGAGAGACCTTGGATCTGAAAGATCAACTGGATTGGGTTGTATCTGGTCAAGTTCCTAAAACTACAAACAGCAGATATACCTGGGGAATGTTAGGATGTTTTAAAAGGCCATACACAAGCACATAGGTGTACACACATATATACTTACATCGTTTGTACAGATGTCCATGATATGTTAAATGAAAAAAAAAAAAGCAGATCATAAAATAGTGTATAACAGGTTGTTTCCAAAATAAACCAGCCAGCTCCTATGTATATGGTACATATGTTTGTATATCTGTGCTTGAGTGAGAAGAAAGATGTGGAGGAATACAGAGGCTGGTGTTACCAGTTAAGTCAAAGAGCTGAGAATGGGGTTTGGCGCCAGGGGGCAGAGTCAGCTTTGCTTTTATGTATCACGTACTGTGTTGTTTCATGTGTTAAAGTAAGCTCGTATTTTGTCTGGACTTTGAGAAACATCCTGTAAAGGAGAAAGGAAGGACCCTATTCTCACTGAACTCAGGAGGTGTACGGATGCAGGGCTGAACGTGGGACAGCCTGGGAGTCATGTCATCTTTGCCTGGACATCCAAGGCTTCCCAGCCTCCCCTGTGGCAGTAGCCAGCTGGAGCACTCCACAGTGCTGTTTGTTCACCAGGCCTATATCTCTTCTGGAAAGAAGATCTGAGTGGGTCAGACTCACCACCACCCCTACTATGGCCAGATCTACTAGGCAGTGTGTCCTTGCCCAGGACAGAGGCAGGGCTCTTCCCACCCAGGGTTCCCGGTGGCTGCCTTCTCTCCCAGGCTACCCCTGCTTTGGCCAGCTGTGGCAGGAACAGCTGGACTACTTTGAAGTGGAGCACCTGATATGAGTCATTAATTATGCAGGACAGAACCACTGGGCCTCTTTTATGGAAAAGAAGGCCAAATAGATGACTGGCCCTTTGAAGCTCATGGTCCATTCGGTTTGGTTAAGAACTTCTAACACCTGGCACCAATATGCTGCAGACAGTTGTCATGAATAACTCACGTTCAGGAAGGTAAAGGGGTAAGGATGCGTGTGAGGTCAAGACGTCTGCCTCCCTGCTGTCAGAAGGCCTCCGTAATACCTCTGGCCAGTGACACCACTGAAATATTGTGGGGGGAACCAGTGATGTGCTGTGTTGTGAGTGCTGCCTACCAGGGTAGCAGATGACAGTGGCTGCCACAGTAGCCCACGCCCCCAGGTCTCATGTGTCTCTGAGTATTCGTCATTATCCCAAGGAAATGCAGCTTGTGGGTGAACAAGCTCAGGCTGTCTATATGATTACAAACAAGGCTGTCCCTTGGTGCCACAGTATGTGTTTCAAGCCATTGTTCCCATTCATGTAAAATAGGTTGACAGGAGCTGCCAGCTGAGCTGTAACTGTTGTCCATTTGCAGAATGAATGCCTTACTGGCCCATCCTGGTTGAAGGTAATTGCTACTGCTGTGATGTGGCTAGGCTGCTCACTCTTGCGAGGCCCTTGTTGCTTAAACTGTCCAATTAAAGGGGGTTAGGCCTGGAGGACATGTCAAAGCCTTTTGAGCTCTAAGATTTTAGGCTGCTTCTTCAGGGAATGGGTACGTCTTACAGAAGTGATTTGAAGTGCCTGTTGCACTCTTGAAAGGTGGCTAGCGTGACTGAGGAACTGAATTTTTTATTTTAATTTAAGTTTAAATTTATATAATCACATGTGGCCAGTGGCTACCATTTTGGATGGCCCAGCTCCTCAACTGGAAGAAAGTACTATGAGGTGAGCATTTTAAATGCCTGTGCATTTTTACATGTATATATTACTGAAATTTTTAAAAAACTGTAATTTTAGATAAACAATTTGGTTTCATTATAGATAATACAGACAAGAGGAAGAAAGTAAAAGAGTAGTCATGAAGATGAGTCTACTCAGAGATAACTGCTATGGGCACCTTGGTGTGTAACGTTCTGTATGCTCTCCTCTGCATTTGTCGTGGTAGTCAGCTGGCTTTCAGAAGCATAGTCTGGAGTCGTCCAGAAAGGGATATGACATGTTGGTAGGAGAGAATGCCTGTTTATCACCCAGAAGAATATGGATAGAGGTGTTAGCAATCTGCCATGGCTGATGTTTCTCTTCCGGGTGCTAGGTCATCAACCCCATGGGATGGGATGCATTTGGACTGCCTGCTGAAAATGCAGCGATTGAGAGGAATCTACATCCAGAAAGTTGGACGCAAAGGTATGTATTTACAGGCGTCTTCAAATACTTCCATACAGAAACCTTAAAAAAATGTTTTACTCTGTGCCTGAGAAACAGATAGTGAAGCAAACAAAAAACATTGCTGTCTGCCAAGCGATGAGCAGGATTATGTATATTGGCGTTTGTCTTTTAGTATGCTGTATTCTTAACTGAGAAGTCCCAGAGAAGGTTCTGGGTATTCATTCGGAATGTGTTCATTTTGATGCTTTGTTGTTATAAAGTTATTCTTCCCCTGGGTATTTGCATTTGGAAGGAAAAAGGACAGGGTTGCATTTGTTAAATTTCTATAGTGTTTCTCATCCGCTTGACCACAATGTGAGCTATATCCAAATTCCACATTGTAATTTTCTCGGAAAATTCTGTTAATGTTTGCCTTCACTATTCTAGAACAATGGAAACTTAGACATTCAATGTAGAAATATATGGCCATTGTATTTTGAATATGGCCTTCTCCAAGGGGGACACATCCCCAATTCCACCTGTGCCTCAGGCTTCCACGTACATGTGGGCCAGCAGTGCCCATCCCTCACACCAGAACCCAGCAGAATGTTCTGGGCTCACTCTACCAGCCTCTTTCACAAAGATCTGGGGGCCTTTCCCCACTCCATGCCTCAAGAGATCTAGAAGGGCAATTCCAGGGCCTGTCTCAATGTCTTTGACCTCCCTTTGCTTTATTTTGCCCAAGGCTACTTTGTAGAAACATCCATTGTACCATTCACTTCTCTTTTTTTCTCCTAACCCCTAGTTACCACTTTCTCAGTTATGGTTAATTCTCGATTACATGGGAGTAATGAAAAAAGAAAGAAAAGATAATCAAATAAAGTGGACCAAAGATGGCACAAAATTGATGTAAAGCTAGATGGAGGATTAGCAAACTAGGCCCCATGGGCCATATTTGGCCCTGCCTGATTTTGTAAATAAAGTTTTATTGGAACACAGTCATACCCATTTGTTTACATATTGCCCATGGCTGCTTTCCTGATACAGGGGCAGAGTTGAGTAGCTGTGATAAACCATATGGCTCACAAAGCTGAAAACATTTACCATCTGGCCCTTTGCAGGAGTTTGCCAACCCCTCCACAGAAAAAATAGTGGTTAAGAAGATGGCCCCTGAATCAGGCCACCTCAGTGCAAATCCTGCCTTCTTGGTAGCTAATCACCTTGAGGAAACTACTTAACGTCTCTGTGCTTCAGTTTATTTGTCCGTAAAAGAGGGATAGTCCATCTTAGTTGGCTGCTATAACACAAATGCCATAGTCTGGGTAGCTTATAAACAACAAACATTTCTTTCTCATAGTTCTAGAGTCTGGGAAGTCCAAGACCAAGGCACCTGCAGATTTGGTATCTGGAGAGGAGCCCCTTCCTGGTTCACAGGTGGCCATCTTCTCTGTGTCCCTACGTGGCAGAGGGGCAGGGAAGCTCTCTGGAGTCTCCTTCATAAAAGCACTGCTCCCATTCAAGAGGGCTTCCCCCACATGATCTTGTCACCTTCCAAAGTCCTCACTTCTAAATACCATCACTTTGGAAATTAGGTTTCAACATACAAACTTTGCGGGGGACACAAACATTGTCCATGGCAGGCACTTTTCTGCAAAATGTCTAGCATGAAGCCTGGCCGAAAATAAACTATTGTTGGCTAAGCAGAGATTACCAAGGGGAAAGAAAAAAACGTATTCCCTTATTTCATTTCATAATAAAGTTGATTAATTTGCTTTTCTCCCCCTATCTCAATTATTGGATAGTTTTAGATTTTAGGTTTTGACCGATAAACCCGAAAGCGGGTTTCTTTTGGATTCCCACAATTAGGGTTTTTTTCTTCAGCTGATTTTAAACTTGTAAATGCTTGGCTTAAATTTGCATGGAATACAGACATAGGGATGGGCCAGGAGTACACATACCACAGGGGTTGCTATCACAGCCAGAGGAAGAGCCAGTCCCCAGGGCCAAAGACCACTGTGGTTTCTAGTAGATTCTGGTTGAATCCAAATAGATATCTTCTAATACACTGATATTTTCGTTGAGTCTTACTGATTAATTTTTTTTCCCCAGGGCAAAACAACATTGGAAGCCCTTTTGAATAACCTAGACTTTTACTTTCCTTTCATATCCTCAAAGTGTTGATTGTGGCTTCTGCCTTCTGAAAACCAAACTTTCTTCCCTCCATTTCACAGTAATATTGAACACATGAGGAAGCAGCTTGATCGACTGGGCCTGTGTTTCAGCTGGGATAGGGTAAGTCAGCCCTTCATCCTGGAAAGTTTTCCTTTTTATGGAAAAGGGCGACCTTTTTATGAAGGTCGCCCTTCCATGGGGAACCATGTGCACTTACTTCACATTTCTCCTCTTTGTTGGGAGAAGGGGAGGGAGAGATGGGAAGGATTAGCATTCCACAAATGAAAAAGTATTCCCAGAGGACAGTCTGCCTGCTGACAAGTCATTTTCTGTAGGAATAAGTAAAGAGAGTTAACTTCTTTTTTTTTTTTTTAAATTTTTATTTTATTTATTTATTTATTTATGATAGTCACAGAGAGAGAGAGAGAGAGAGAGAGAAGCAGAGACACAGGCAGAGGGAGAAGCAGGCTCCATGCACCGGGAGCCTGACGTGGGATTCGATCCCGGGTCTCCAGGATCGCGCCCTGGGCCAAAGGCAGGTGCCAAACTGCTGCGCCACCCAGGGATCCCAGAGTTAACTTCTTATTTAACTCCACAGCTGGCTAGAATTTATGGGTATCAAAAGTCTCACACAAATGGATTTTTCCTCTTTGCAATATTTTAAAAAGACTAGTGTAATCTATATTAACGTGATTAATTATCAGCCTCTCTGGTTTTTTGGGGTGAATAGGTGTTGAGTTGACTGACCATTTATTTATCTGCATTCCAAGTTCCAAATTGGGTCTGATAACAGCCCATAATGATTATGTCACAAATAGCATTTTGGTGTAAAATACTTTTGAGCTGTGTATTAAGCCAGTGGAGAATTCTAGACATGGGAGGAGTTCATGAATACCACCTGGGTGTTAGGAACACTCAGGTAACTGGGAACTGAGCCCTTGCACACTGTGGCTGAAGGCCCACCCCCTTAGACACTGGTGGCCTGTTTGGTAAGAGAGACCCTTCTAGGGCAGGCCCGGTGGCCCAGCAGTTTAGCGCCGCCTTTGGCCAGGGTCATGATCCTGGAGACCCCGTATCGAGTCCCACATTGGGCTCCCTGTGTGGTGCATGCTTCTTCCTCTGCCTCTCCCCCCCTCCCCCCCTTGTGTGTCTCTATGAATGAATGAATGAATGAATGAATAAATAAATAAATAAATGAGGGACCCTTCTAGTGTCATGAACCCTTCTAGCATCCCTATGTTCCACAAAATGATTGAGGTTTTCATTACTGGGCCTGTCAAGTTCAAGTTCACATCCTCTTCCTCATGAGAAGCACCTGGAACAAATCCAAATACAATCTTTTCCTCCTCCTCCAGCAATTTCTTAGATAATTGAGATTTGATGAATACAGTGAGAAAAAGCAAACACATCCGAACAGTCCTTTTTGTTTGTTTTTTGGTAGCTTCCTTAGATAAGGTCACGAGTTGAATCAAGTTCTAATTGTACCACCGATGCCATTTTTACCACTGACTTGATTTGCAGGGTCACCTCAGTTGTTCATTTGGTGAAGGGGTGAAAAAGTCCCGGTGCCCTGGTCACATTGTCCCAGGATGTCAGCCGGGAATTACTGATGAAATGCAGTCTGTTGCAGAGAGAGCTGAATACTGCCCAGAGCTCTCCAGAGCTGAGATTCTAGGTTCCTTGAGGGCGGAGATGGACTTGTTAACCCTCTAGTCCTGCATAGGAACATCAGCCATAAATGGCTCAAAATATTAGCGGATTATTTTCCTGATTATTTTAGAAGATTAGAAAGTACAGAAAAATCTAAAGAGTGTAAGTCAGTGCAGCTAATTTAACATCCCAGTATAGTTCTTTGTATCTTTTATTCTGGAATTATAAACATCTATGTAATTTACTTTTGCAGAGTTAAATCCATAATGCCTATTTTTATCTTTTTTTTACACCTACCATCCATGAACATTTTCTCATTTTATTAAATATTCTTTGAAAAACTGACTTTATAGAGGTATAGTTTTCCATCTTATGACTATATTATAATTTATGTAACTTACTTCTTATTACCATACATTTAGATAGATTTTAATGTTTCTCTTATAAATATGGGTTCTCAATCGCCACCCAGGGATCCCTCAATCCCTTCTGTGCAAATCTAAAGTCCAGAAAGCTCTAAAAACTAAAAAAAAATTTTTAACTCATTTGACTGCAAAACCTGAACTGATATTTATCTCACTTAGAATGAGTATTCATATATTTTTCTGTAGATATAATAATATAATTGATTACTGGGTACTCTCCTAGACTTTGTTGGATAAATATGTTCTTGCTTTTTGATATCCAAAAAAGGTCTTAATTCTGAGGCACATTTGACTGCAAACATTTCAGGAAAGAGATTTTGAACCTATTGTGTGATGTTGTAGATAAATATGTCCCTACTGCTACAACTCTCTAATAGTTACAGAGCACTTACCATGGGCTAGGCATGCATAATTACTTCTTTGGGTCCCTAGTAAGCTCTAAAATGAAAATACTGGGGCACTTGGGTGACTCAGTGGTTGAGTGTCTGCCTTTGGCTCAGGCTGTGATCCCAGGGTCCTGGGATCGAGTCCCACATCAGGCTCCCTACAGGGAGCCTGCTTCTCCCTCTGCCTACATCTCTGCCTCTCTCTGAGTGTCTCTCATGAATAATAAAATACAATCTTTAAAAAATGAAATGAAGATAAATTTATTACCATGATTTTATTGCTGGTTACTCAAGCAGTAGGGATTGGCTAATCCCCTGGCCAATTTGACTGCTGTGTTCATCTTCCACTTTTGGGGCTGCACAAATCTTGGTAAACATGTTCTATTATTTCTTTAATGTGAACTCTCAAAAAAGCCATGAACAAGTTTAAGGCTTATATAGATAGGTACTTGAAGGAAACTTAATTTGGCTTGTGGTATTTGAAGGTTTGAAGACCATTTATCTCTCAAGTTATTATATGTTTTCATCTGTATTTCTTTCATTATTCATGATAACGAGGTTTCATTTTGTTTTGTTTTTCATGTGTTAAATGGATGTTTGAATTTAGGGTGTGTGTGTGTATGATCTAATCCTGTCTTTTGCCTGCATAGGCAAGGAGTGTTTGTTCTTTTCCTTTTTTTTTTTTAAAGACTATTTATTTATTTATTTATTTGAGCAATAGACATAGGGAGAGAGAGAGCACCAGCAGAAGGGGCAGAGGGAGAGGGAAAGAGAGAATCTCAAGCAGACTCTGTGCTGAGCCCAGAGCTCAGTGTGGAGCCAGATCTCATGACCCTGGGATCATGACCTGAGCAGAAATGAAGAGTCAGACACTTAACCAGCTGGTGCCCCTGTCCTTTTCTTAATAATATTTTTTATAGATATGTTTCCGCAGTTTGTCATTTGCCATGCATTTTGTTTATAGTGAGGTTATTAGCATACAAATATGTACTTGGAAAGACCTTCTTTGAGATAGATACATTCATATCTTCTCAGTCTTTTATGGTTTAAGTTTTACATTGAACTTACTGGAATTATTTTAGTGTAGAAGATAAAGAATGACTTTTTCTAAATAACCAATTGTTTCTGTTTTTATTTTTATTTTTTTTGTTTTTATTTTTAAATGGTCCTTTTCTCATTGATTTAAAGGGTTACCTTAAATATAACTTAGTTCTTTTATGCTATTATACTACTAAAACTCTGTTTCTGATCATTTGATCCATTTGTGATATTATTACTCCCATATTTTAATTGTAGTTGCTTTATGATTGGTTTTAATGCTAATACCTGGTAGTCTGCAGAGGCTCCCTCTTATTGTCTGATGTGACAGTGCGTCCCTGTTGTCTTGTTTCTTTGATGTGTTTTGTCCATTTTTTTTTTTCATTTTTTTTAACTTTTAGCCCTTATCTGTCAAATTCTTTTGTTACATCACTTGTAGACTCAGTTAAAACATAGTTTTAGATGTCTTTTTTTAAAGATTTATTTATTTATTTATTTATTTATTTATTTATTTATTTATTTATTTATTTATTTATGATAGACAGACAGAGAGAGAGAGAGGCAGAGACACAGGAGGAGGGAGAAATAGGCTCCATGCTGGGGGCCCGATGTGGGACTCGATCCCGGGACTCCAGGATTGTGCCCTGGGCCAAAGGCAGGCGCTAAACTACTGAGCCACCCAGGGATCCCTAGATATCTTTTTTTTTTTAAATGGGTGTCTTACAGTTAGAATTTTCTCTTTTTTTCCTCTAGAGATTAAAAAAAATGTTTTTTTATTCTGCTAAAAGATAGCTTTAAGTGTTTTTCTTTAGTGTTTAGTATCAACATACCAAATAAAACCAGGTATTTTTTGCTTGCTGTGTGCAATAAGGAACTTGAGAGGCAGTGACACTTCCATTTTATACAACCTATTTTTCTAGGGTTTTTTTTTTGATAGGAGTTTTTTCTTTCTTTTTTTTTTTTTTTAAGATTTATTTATTTATTTGAGGGGGAGAGAGAGAGAGAGAAGGAGAGCATGACTGGGGGAGAGGCAGAGAGAGAGGGAGAAGCAGACTCTCCACTGAGCAGGGACCCAACATGGGGCTTGATCTCAGGACCTGAATCAAAACCAAAGTCGGATGCTTAACTGACTGAGCCACCCAAGCACCCCTGGTAGGAGTTTTTAGGCCTAATTTATTCTTTATATTATACCTTTTCTGATCATGTATTATTTCTTAAACATTATGTTTGGTATTTGCTGCTAGTTTTTAAATCACATCCAATTATTCAAATTGAAGTCTCCTTAACTGGTTTAATGCTCATCAGTAGAGCTTTTTAGAGCATATGTCTGCCCATTTAAAAAAATCTGACTCTTGCTTTTGTGACATCATATGTTGTCTTCATAACAGAGAATGACTGTCCTTTGCTTTCATGTGTGAACAACAATTTGCTGGGGTATGGAATTCTTTCTTTCAGGTTTCTGTAGTAGACCTTGATGCTTGGCCAACCGTTTTTTTTTTTTTTTTTTTTTAATAATTATAGAATTACAGGGGGTTGCCAGACAGTACAGAGAGATCCTAGGTACCCTTCACCCAGCTTCCTCCCAGTAATAACATTTGATAGAACTACTATATGATAAAAT